ATGCCATTGTTTAGTTTCAAATTTTATCGTTGGTGTTGAAAAATGATTTTAGAGCCTTTATGGAGATTTTCTTTGCGAACGAGGATATGAGGTAAATCTTTATTTATATTTTCATAATACCCGGGCATTCTTTGTCCCACCTGGGGCCAAGTCGGTGAGAGCAATGGCAATCTCTCTCTGAGTGATATAATTTCCTTGACTAAGTTTGATATTTTCCTTCATTGACCAGCAAGGGTGCAGTGCATATAGGACTTCTTACTCACCATAATCAGCTCATTTCATCACTAATAATAAATCACCTATACTTTTAAAATCCAAAATTCTAATAATACAACCTCGATCACCTAATGCGTAGGAGCCATCGATTCCAAGAGCATAGCATCCAACCATTGATTTACGTGCCGACAGTTCTGCCGCACCTCGCTACCCATGGCTGCCTGGGGTGGCAGCCGCCCAAGCTCCACCATGCCGGCCTTAAATGCCTCAAAGAACGCTGTCTGGTCACGACTAAACCTCAAAACATGTTCTCTTGTGTCCCTTCTCCCACCAGAAAAGAGCACTTGGTCCGAGTTCAAGAACCCTCGCATTCTCACTAAGTCTTTGAAATATTGGTTGTCGAAGAGTTGAGGTGTGGAGTCAAGATCGCCTGTCACGTTCTGGTCACCATTAAGGGGACAGAGATTGTCGAGTCTGTCTCTGTAGACAGGGTCCATGTACGGGTCGGGCTTGCCGGTGTCTGACTGGTTGTAGAGGCGATGCACAATCGAGAAACAGCGGGCTTTGCCGATGCTATGTGAGCCTGAAAGGGCCACAAGGCTCTCGACTGAGAGGTTAAATGACTCGAAGAGTTGGACGAGGAAGGTGGCGTTGGCTCGAGGACTTGGCATGATTCGGTTTGAGTCTTCTTGGTTAGCGGTTAGGCTGTCTTTTCGGCCTAGCTCCACCTCCCAGCTCGGCCCTCCACTCTGAAATTCGCATTCCATAAGAGTGTTTAAGGTACAAGAATTTTGAATTTATTCGATTTGAGTCTTTAAGATACAAGAATTTTGATTTTTATTCCCTTCAACTACGAAAAGCACAAGCCAAAACGACCAATTGGTGGCTGGAAATTTACGCAGGACTTGTAGGTGTTCGACAGTCTCCGTGAGTGCCTAAAATAACTTCCTACTGCTAATAACCACTTTAAAACAGTTCAATTTTACTTTTAGGACAATTTTACCCTCTAGAGATACAAATATTTGTTTAGGAAAAAAACCTGTTCAAAACAGGCAAATTGGATCACGGGGTTAGAAAATATGTCTTGTGAAATCTCGTGACTTTTTAAAATTTTAGATTTGTTGAGAAATAGTGCACCAAAATAAAATATATGAAAACATTTTTCTTATTAAAAATAGGTAGTTCACTATTCGAGCTTGGGATGGAGTGTTACAATCCTCAACAACTAAACAATCAAGCTCGAAATCTAGAACTTAAACGTCCAAAGTTTCAACATTTCGAGAAAATATTATCTAACCGTCCACATATAAACACGGGTTCTTAAGTTTGGGCGAATGAAAATATATTATGATCTACATGACCACATGAAAGTTGTCATAAGGGTTACCGCATCCAATCAGTAGGTTGGTTGGACGGTGTTGGAGAGAGAATGGGAAATAGCAATGAATTAATATTATGTTTGGCAGGTACAATTCTCTCTCACATCACTCAACCCATTATTAAAAAATGATAGGTTATGATTATTTAAGATTCATGTAGCCGAGTCCAATTAATTAAAAAAAATATATAATTGTGCATTCCATATGTTCATGTGGATCATAGTATTGCTAATGCAACCATTATTGCTAATGTAACCAACCTGTTATTCTAAGGGAAAGCTTTCTATATATGTTTTACTGTATAGAACTTATATACTTTCCTCTCATCAAGCTGTCCAATTTGATCAAGTGAGCTACTGACCATTTGATCTCAATCCGACGTTTTTGAGTATTTTATTTTTAATTTTTTAAAAAAATTGTATGAATATGAAATTTGGTATGTGTCATCATCTCAATCGGCAGTACCTCAAAAATTATTCTAAAAATATTTTTAATAAAATAAAATGTCCAATATACCCCTAAAAATTTCAAAGATATTTTGGTCATTTTATATTAGAAATAAAATTTTAAATATTTTTTGTAGGTTCTATTTTAAGAGAGGAGTGGACGTCCAAACTTTGGTGACAAAATATTTTGTGCAAAAAAGTTAAAAATCAAGCTGTGTAGAAAGGGGACATTGTGATTAGGTCCAACTACATCTTTCATTCAAATCGAGCAGTTGGACATAGGGAAGTATATAGCTTCTATATATTAGGAAAAATATAGAAAGATTGCCCTTATTATAGTGTAGATTAAACATTTGATGTAGTGAAGTGGATCATAGTATTGCTAATACAACCAGGTAGAGGTGGTAATGGATCAGTTTGGGCCAAACAATGTGGCTTGAGAGTCAGGCCACTACAGCCCAAAGGCTGGGTTAGGCTTGGGCCGAGATAGGGCCAACTAGGTTCAGCCCAGCCCAAACCTTTTGTTCTATATTCTTTTTCTGCTTTTGGACTTTTTTTCATTTGGACCTGCCTAGTCCCCCATAGGGTAGGGCTTCTTTGCCCATATCAAGGCTGGGCTAGGGTTGAGGCTGGGGCTATGGGAATCAAGGCTGGGCTAGGTCCGGGACGGGCCCAGCCCAAGCCCGGAAATTTCCCACCCTACAACCGGGAATATATTCCCTTAGCTGAAGTGCATGGTACTTAAAAAAGTTTAATGCAGATGGCTCATTTGGACTATAGTTCATTCCTACGACTTGTCCAGATCAATGAGTGAGAACCCTACCAAACTCCTTGAATTTGGGCCCACACACCGTAACATGACATGGACCACCATAGCAATCGGTACTCTAAAATCTAAATAGTACTAGCGAGTAAAAACCTAGAAACCAACAAAACCTAACAAGCCTTGTGTATCGTAATTACCTAATGCAACAAACCGGCACCAATTGTCAAACACAGTGGAGGTCCTTCTAGCACACCTTTGAAGAAAGTAGAGGGATCCTTCATTGAGAGTACGTTTGTTCAAACGGAAATATCTCTCCTCCCAGACAGAGATTTCCATTGACTGCCCCACTTTCCTATGTTTGTTTCATGGGAAAGCAGGCCCTCAAACTCAACCAGGCTATACATTCAGGCATTTTTAGGAATGCGGTTTCATATCTTGCTAGTTACGAAAATAGTTTGCGATTTTTCAAAATTCACCCTACTAGAGAGAGCTCTATAGGAGAGTGGGCCAGTGTACCGGGACCAGTATACTAGGTCTCGGCCGAATCTGATGACTACCCTTATTATGTGACAACTCGTGTACTTAAAAAAGATTCAAAAAATGAAAATATTATAAAAAATAAAGTTGTGTTATACAATTGTTTTAGATATATTTGGTAAAGATTGGTGAGGCTTTTTCCCATAATCATATTTTTATACTTTTTTTTTTGGATTTTTAAATTAATCCGAACTGTAAGTTGTTTTTTTTTAATCCATGTTTTCTCTATTTTTAATTTACTTTTGATCAATGTTTTTATTTTTTTCAGTTGTTTTTTGGGTCTTTTGGCCCTGTGCTGGACTCGGCACTCTGGAGTAACTCACCTCGCCAAGGGATATGTCCCCTAGTCGAGGCGAGTACCAGCACACAGTGGGCTTTGAGAGCCCATTATTGAGAGTAAGAGGTCCATGCCACTAAACTAAGAAACCTACACAAAAGGGAGCACTATAGCTTACCAAGGGCCCATCTCAGTGCACAAAAGAAACTATTTCATCGATAAATGGATTAAAGTGAGAGCATTGGTAATTAGATTAATGAAAGAATTGTGCTTGTGTTAAAAAAAAGGAAAAAGTTTATATGGAACCGAGGATCTAAACAATCAAATTAGAGCCTACTCAAAAATTTCACTAGAAGAGATGTTTTGATGCCCAAATATCCTCAAATAGATCATCTCGACATCAATATGCATGGACATGAGAAAAAAATGGATTTCAAATTTTACATCTTACAATGCATTTTTGGACCGTCAACTTTCAAGATTCTCAAATTCTCATATATATGCTCGATCTACATTATTTTTGAAGCTTTAAAATTTTATAATTAAAAATAAAAATATATTTTAAAGCTATCACAAACATTTCCAGTATCGAAACCACATTTCCCGACACTATTTGAAAGTGCGTTTTAACGGAAAAGGATAGGGGGTGTTGAGAGAGTACCAAGACTACAGCGTCTCTTGCTGCCATGATAAGTACATCTGCACAAGAGACAACGCCTGGGCAAAGTTTTTCCAAAGCCTGTTTGGCTTCATCTACAACCTCATAAGACCTCAGTGAGTTTATGTTGGAGAGGGCCAACTTCTCACCGAGCATGCTGGGCGTGTCATCTAGCAACAGTGAAGCGTCACAACCCTACAAAAAGAAGCACCTTTAGCATCATTCTTTTCATCTTTTTGTTTTATCTTATAAAATTATTAGTGCTTGAAAGTGTGGTTGTTTTATTTTTTTAGTGGTGGGTGGGGCAAGTGATTTTGTTTGCATCTTGTGTGATGAACAAATAAATCTTTGACCTTAATCCAAACCGCATGTCACACCCAATGCACTTTAGTTTATTTGTTTAGGGCTTCAACTTTTTTTATATATGTATATATATATATATTTAAATATGATGCAACACCCGTGTTCGCAAAATCATCGAGGTTGACTCGAAAATAAGAGGGTTATATCCAGAACTCGCGATTGGCCGTGGCCGGTTAGGGTAGTCAACTAGCTAGGCCACTCTAACTTAAAAAAAAAATATTATAATTTTGTTTTAAAAAAAATCTGTTGTTCTGAAAAAAAAAGGTTGGGAAGTATTTTGGACATAAATACTTATTTTTTACAATTTTTTCCTTATTTTTAAAATTATTTCTAAAATACCCCTAGCACATATCCCATTTATGATGAAGTTTGACCTCAAGGAAAGCACTTTTATTTATTTATTCTTATGTCTTAATTGTTTATGCCTCCAAAGGGAAAAACATAATATGCATGCCCATTTTCCCTACTCGTATCTACTGTCCATTGCAGATGTACGGTGACGATTGGACGACGGCACTTGTCATCTCTCCCCTCCCTCGGACAAACCTCCATGCTCTCAAGAGAGCACCTAATATACACATGAATATATCCCTGAATTTTGAAACATAATTAGGCTAAAAAAACCAGGACTAGAGATGCTATTTAAGCTGATCTTAGTGGATCACAGTCTGAAAATCCATGTCTTCAAGAGAGAGAGAGTTAACTACTGAACAAAAAAGAAAACAAATGAAGATAGAGAGAGACAAACATTAACAAGGCAGTCATGAAATTGCAGGCGCATAACAGAGGCTGCGTTCCTGGGCTCTCTAATCATGGCTTGCCGGATCACCTCCCTCACTATGGCCTCAGCCCCTGGGCATGTCTCTATGTAAAACCCGGGCCTCAAGCTCGATCCCAAGCCCAAACTCACCCCGCGCATCGAGTTCAACGCCATGGCCAAACCCACAAAGAAGATAATCATGGAGACCTCTCTGAGCATGGTGGGAGTAGAGGGACACAAAAGGTGAAGGGCTCGGGTTAGAGAGAGAAAGGCAGGTATTGGGTTAGAGAGAGATATGTGGGTATTTAGGAGAGAGAAAGAGGGGATGGCATCAGATTCGGGTTAGGGGAGACAGCTTTTATGGCCTCTTCCTATTCCTTAAAATGGAAGGGATTTCCGAAATGCGACGCGATTCTGTTAGTGCCGTCCTACGACATTTATGATTTATCACGCCTTTCTTTTCTTTTCTTTTCTCTAACTTTTTACTTAATTCCCTATCTTTCTATTCTTTAACACGCACGCGTTGTAGTGGTGGCGCGTGGCATTTTCCGTGATTTTGAGACGTTGGATTGCGTCAAGCTCAATAATTCTCCCTCTCCTCATCTCCTTATTTTTCCCCTCTTCATTTCTCTATGAACCTGCGAACCGCCATTGTGTCAGGACAAAGAACTCACGGAATAAGAGGAGGTATAATGAATGCTCAAAGGTCCATGTCACAGAGAAACGCGCACTACAGTGGTCCGCTGCACCAAATCTACTCTTTACCCTATGCAAAAATAAAAAAAAATGTTACTTATGACCTTAGATTGTCAAATTTTAACTATGGAAGAAATTTGAGCTTCAAATTATGAAAAATGATGGTAAAGATTACTAGAGTCTTGGGGCTCCATGAAATTATTGAAGTAAGTCATTTGACAAGTAGGACTAAATGAAAAAGTTAGTCCAACGCTACCGCTGATATTTTTCTATAATACTTCTTCTCTGTCTCTAATCTCATGAATCCTCCACCCGTCCATTATTGAGATTTAAGGTTGAGGGACCTGTTTATTTATATCCATCCAGACAAGATATAAACGGGTACTACACTCTAAGTTCCCATAAGAAATGGGCAAGCTTTTTATGCTTTCTCTGTATCATAGAAGTTTTATCTTCCCTTTTATCCAACTGTCCATTCTGAATGGAGGGTTAAGATTGTTCCAATCACAATATCACATCTCTACACTATTTTATTTTTAATTTTTTTTCTATAAACTATTTTGACACCAAATTTTGGATGTCCATTCCTCTATTAAATTCGTACTAGTGAAAAATAAAAATTAAAATATTTTCAATAAAATAAAATTATCAAAATACCTTTGAGAGTTTCAAGATGTATTTTGGTCATTATATTTTATCGAAAAATTATTTTTCATATTTTTTATAGATGCATTCTAATGAAAAGATGACACGTACCAAATTTTATATTAATTTGTATAAAAAAACTAAAAGTAAAATATTTTGAAACGTCAGATCTAAGATTAAATGATGCGTGGCTCTCTTGATAAAAAATAGCGGGTTTAAAAGAAGATAAAACTTCTATGATTAAAAAAAAGATGATAGAACTTTTATATTTTAGGAAAAACATAGAAACCTTTCCCTAAAGAAAGCGAATTGATTTTTGTCTAGTGCAATGTGTCACGAAAACGAAAACGATGGAAACCTCTCCGTATTTCATAGTTGCCAAAAGATGGTCTACTCCTTCGGGAGTATAATGTGCGTTCGCTCTCTCGGGTAAAAATTAACACATAGATTAACCTCACCGAGGGGGTAGAAGTAAAATATGCTCCTGAGGGAGCACAGTGTATGTGTTCTTCATAATTTCTTTGTTGGTACTGCAAAGGCAGTGGACAGTTTGAAGGGGCAGAGACAGAGAAAGTTGTTTGAGTTAGGAAGAGGGTTTATTTGTGTTCTCTGTCCCTCTAACATCTTTAGAGACAGAATTGGATGGTTTTAGCAAGGGAGTTGCAACTTCCTTCTAACTTTATATCATATTCCTTGCTGGAATGACCACATTCATACAACCCTTTTAAGAGAGAGGCAAGTCACTTCCTCTTTTTCTCGAGCACAATAAATATCGATAAATGCATTCACACCATAAAGGAAAATACATTGGTTTTAGGAATGCTGCACACTTTTTACATGGAAAGATTGTACAATTTTATGGACTCTTTAGAGAACCATAGTCCGCACATCACCACTCGACCAAGGCGTGGTCACGGATAGGAGTGGCAACGGTTCGGGTCCGGCTGGATCTAGACCCAAATAATACATGGGTCCAAAATTTGGACCCATATCCGGATCTATTGGGTCCTAGGTCTGGTCGGATCTATTGCCGTCCCATGACTATGAGCTTATTTTTATTTTTATTTGTGCCCTTTTTTTTACCATCATATATCCTATGAGTATGAGATTCTTTTTTCTTGTCAATAATACTGTAAATGTTATCAATATTGTGACAATATGAACACATCATTGACATCATATACCCTATGACTATGGGTATGGGCTATATCCGATGACCTGAACTGAGACCTCGATAGTATTCGGGTCTATTGCCACTTGTAGTCAACGATGGAGAGATAGTGGTGCTCCTTAGAACATTTACGACTTAAAAAGGTATATATGTCTTGAAATCTTTTTAAATGGTGAAGGTATAGTGTATCTCTCTACGCCTGAAAATGGATGCATTATTTTTCCGACTTGAAATTTTTTTTTTGTTGTTTTTTTTATCTTTTTCAAATTCATGATTGCCTATATTGCGGTGATCAATTTGAAAGTTTGCTAACAATGAAAATATAATAATATTTTAAAAGTTTGTATACAATGAGACCATTTACTTTTAATACAAGGTGGTCACAATTACTTACAACCATCCGATGTGAAAATTGATAGCTTGGATGTGTCACAAAGTTAAAAAAAAATTCTTTTGAAGTTTGAACTTGATCAATACAATAATCTCAGCCACCCAATATCCATATCCAATTGTCAAGACTAATGTGATCACCTTGTAGAAAAGACAAATTGTCTCTTTGTATACTTTTCTATATTTTAATGGACGAGGTTTCTATGAGGCCTAGGCTTTATGAAACAAGATAAAGCCACACCTCAAATCCACGTCCAGAGAGAACTTTTGGCAAAAGAAATCTCCATGGCGGCTCTAAAATGAATTTTTAATGCCAACAATAAAATTTGAAACTAAAAAAATGGTATAGATCACAGATCTGTGAACACTTATTTTTTGGTGAAATGGACGGTCTAGATAATTTGTTCAATGTAGCATAATTTTAGAGCTTGAAATCCTATTTTTTTTGCAACCATAATGTTGTAAAGGTCTTTTAATGATTAAATTTTAATTTAAGAGTTGCAGCCTTATCAAACTATTTTCCTATTTTAATTGCAGCTTTATTTTCCTATTTTAATTGCAGCCTTATCAAACTATTCTCCACCGTACGTTTTTGGAAAAATGGATGGCAAATGCCAACGAGGGGAGTTGGTTCGCTTGCCTAGTTGCTGCTGACCATTGCGTCACTACATCAAAAAGTTCCACTCCTGCCCCTATACATACCATGTAATTTAGGAGCTAGCCGTGCATGAAATGTTTGTTGGGAGTAGGGGTGGCAAACGGTTCAAAAATGTATTACAAAATACATTATTTTTAAAACTTGAAATCCATTTTTTTCTCATGTCCATGCTTCTTGATGTTGAGCTTATCAATTTGATGATATTTGGGCATCAAAGCAACCTCTTCTAGTGAAATTTTTGAGGTAGGCTCAAATTTGATTGTTTGGGGCCTCGGCTCTATATAAACTTTTCCCTTTTTTAAATATCATTTACATTATTATGGTAAAGATTAAAATTTGTTTTGACCATTAATACTCACTTTTATATTTTTTCATCTTTTTTTAAAAATTTTAAAAATAGCCATTGGAAAATATAAAATGGGTTAAAATCCATTTTTTTCATTAATTTTCAACTTCATTTAAATGTGCTTTATTTTAATCATTTTTTATGTGTTTTTCATATTTTAACAGATTTTTTTTGTTTTTTTTTTAATTTTTTAACACTTTTTTGATTGCCTGAGACTTGTTCGGTTAGAGCGGTTGAATCGACTGGTTTACCGGATAAACCAGTTTATGCCCAATTACCCATTTCGGTTCGATTTTACGAACACTGATCCTATGTCTAAGATTGACTCTAGACCCATCCAGTAAGATTGATTCTAGCCCCATCTAGGGAATGTCAAAACTAGGGGATTGTTAGGTGCTCAAAATAATTAAATTAAAACCTGCTGCTATTTTGCCTGTGAGACCAAATGTACAAATCAGTCCTGTGAGACCACCAATATATGCCTCTTCTTAAATTATTCCCAAAATCTAATAAAATAGTAGGGGTGCAGTTGGCATACGGATGCATCCGTAGAGGTGAAGTGCACCTTCAAATTTTGTCATGGTATATAATTTTGATGTAAAATGTTCTTAGGATTATCTTAAAATCTATTTTTAAATCTAATTATAAAATTTTAAATTTCAAAAATAGTTAAAATCAAGTAGATCCATAAACATATGAAAATCTTGAAAATGGACGGTGTAGATAATATGTTGTAAAATGTGTTATTTCTGATACTTAAAATCTTTTTATTTTTCATGGTCATATATCTCGATGATGAGATGATCAATCAAAGGGTTTTTTAACATTAAAATTACCTTTTTCCATGGATTTTTGAGGTGCATCCGTAGTTCTACATTATAAGGTTGCATCCTTGTATAAACTTTTTCCAAATAGAAGTCCGCTAAGTTTGGGGTGAACACAACTTGATCTAGCGGTACAAGACATGGGACTAAACCAAAGTTTAAAGACACCGTTTCGTAACCCAGATCACCCCTCTCGGCTCAGCAGTCCGGATTGGCGATTGAATTGGAAAATAAAAAATTAAAAATTAAGGTATAAACAAATTACAAAAATCAACAAAATAAAGTAGGATCTGACCAGTTCTGTCAGATGTTTAGCAAGATCTACATCAGCGTGACCGATACCCAAACTAAATTGATCAGTTCTGATCTAGATCACCAATTTTTATAACCAAGGACAAAACCAAATTGAGGATATTTTGTGCCAATAGTAGGCAAATTAGCGGAGCCATTAATGCAACAAAAGTAGTTGTGAGAAATGTCATTGTAGAAATTAAAGATGAACAATTGTTTCATGCATGCTAAACCGCATTTGTACAATATGCGGTGGTCTAGAGGTATAAAGCATTCATCTTAAAGATGGATGCAAATAGATGGTCCATCTAAAAACAAATGAAACTAATGGTGCAAATGTTTTCTTAACATAATTATTATTTTTTATTTTTAAAATTTATTTATTTATTCATATTCATAAT